TAATCATATAAATATGACTTATTCATAAAATTCAGCTGTAATCAACAGACCATGAATGTGTAAAGCAAGGTAAAATAAACTACATTATGGTTTAACTGCTATGTCTAAATTCAACATTCAACAAAACTTTCAGTGTTACTTTTCAGTATTTCTGACCAATTAATATATTTAAAGGTAACAAATTAAGCACTTGGTGGAGAAGACAAAGGAGTATAATTATCTTTCATAAACTTATTTCAGAATATTTAGAATGAAATGAATAAGCTAGCAATGGTTTATGTTTTTTAGTAATAAAATGCACTAGAGAATTTTATATAAACTGATGTTATGCTGGTGATAAGTTTAGATAGAAAACAAATTATTAGGATGGAAATAAATAAATAGGAAGTCTCAGGATTTGCTTCCAGGTGTAGAACCATATGCAAACTGCTGTGTTTTGCAGGCATGTAAGTTCATATTTGGGAATTTTGCTTTTTTTTTCAAAGTGCTATTCCAAATTATGACCTTAAAAATAACATCCCAAACCATAATTTGTGGTTTCAAGCTTAAGAGAGACATAGTTGATCTGTTTTGTATGAAGCCATGTTTGTAAATTTCGATTTGATTATCAAACCTTTACCTCAAGTGCTATCAGCTATATATGATCTAACAAGAAATACCCCTTGGGCACAAAGCCAGCTGGATGACCTTGGGCCAGTCATTTCTCTCAGCCCTAGGAAGGAGGCAATGGCAAAACATTCTGAAAAAAGCCAGCCAAGAAACTTGCAGGGACTTGTCCAGGCAGTCTCTGAGAACATGACATGACTGAATAGAAAAAAAAATCACATTAATAATCACAATTTGTTTACAAGTTCTGAAAAGGCTCTGCTATGGAGGGGTTGCAAGTGAGTCTTACACTGCAGATTGTGAGTGTTTCCCTTACTGCAGGTTGGGTTGGGGTGAAAAAAAAAGTGCCTCAGTTGAAGCTACTCAACCAACCAGCAAGGCTGAGGAAGGACTTTCACTTAGGTTTCCCGTATCTTTTTTCTTCTTCTGTTCAATCGTGTCCAATTCTTGGAGACTGCTGGACATATAACATAGAAAAGGGTAACATAGGGAAACAAAGGCTTAAGAGTTTTGTATAATGTACATGTAATATAGTATACACAACCTTTTGAACATCCTGACATTTATTAACAACAAAGTCAAAGTCAAAGGGAGAATTTTAGATCTTAGCATCAACTTCGTTGTGCCTGTGCCGACATTTTGTAACAATAAATTACTTTTAGGAGAATCAATGCCTGGAAGTTCTTTGAAGTGTTTCATTAGCCGGAACCATAACAAACAAACTATGATGTGACATTATAACTCTTTGACAAGTATTTTTTAAATCTTTGCTACAAATATTATTTGCTTATTATGGGCCATGAACACATTTAAATATTAGTCAATTTTAACATCTGTCTAGAATTATATATTTTCAAGTACTTTTATTTCAATTTAACACTTTTGCATGTCACAAATATTTCACCTTTGGGACTGAAAGAGAAAACAGTATGCTTAATAAATTAGTACATTAACATCTGTATAAGCATAACATCTAAATATTTCATCCAGTCTATATATCAACATACGTTTGGAAAATTACTTAAAACTTTTAAAAGGCTACATAAAATACTCTAGTAGTTCCCAACCATTTACAAAGATAGAGTTAAAGCTAGTTTTTCTATGAATGTATGCTCTCACTAGAGAAAACGGGAGAGCAATTTCTGTAAATTCTTTGGGCAACTCTTAGCCCAGTTCCAAACCAATAGCCACTTATTTATATTATCTCCAATCCAAGCATATGGAAATTTACTTAGAAGTATCATTCCACGAATAATAAAATAACATTGATGTACAGAATAAATGTGCATAGGACAGTACTGCATGTCTGAACAGTCATGCATTGATGAATGTTTTAAAATTAGTTGTTTTTATTCAAGACGGTTCATAGTAATGATATAAAATGTTGAACAGGAAATAGTTAAAATTTTACTATTTAAAGTTTTACTTTATAAAGTTTTACTATTTAGTTGAAACTTAAAAATAAAGCTCAGCTCAAAATGATATCCTAGTTGCCATCCTGGAATCAGCTTCCCCTGGAGGTTTGAGTTGCTCCCACCCTGTTGGCATCCCAACAAGCCTTTAAAATAATTTGTTCTCCAGGCCTTGGGCTGAATGATGTGTGGCCCATTAGCTATGTTTATATGGTTAAGGGTTGTTGTTCAGATTTGCCATATTGTTGTCTTCATCTTCATTGTATTATTTACTTTGTCCTGTTTGGTAAGAGCCAATTGACATGGGATAGTGCCTAAATTGAATAAACTGAATTGAACTGGATCCTACACACCTTAATTCAGGAATAATTCTCACTGAACCTAGTGAAATATACTACTGTGAATTAAAAATGACTAGGCTATGAAACAATTCTATTCAGCACCATGTAGTCTGCATATTATTCATGTACAGGTAGTCCTCACATTACAATAGTTTGTTTAGGGATCGTTCGAAGTTACAGTGGCAGTGGAAGTAGTGACTTATAACCATTTTTCACACTGATGACGACTGCAGCATCCCCTTGGTCACATCATCAAAATTCAGATGCTTGACACCTGATTTAATATTTATGATGGTTGCAGTGTCCTGGGGTCAGGTGATCACATTTTTTGACCTTCTGACCTGCAAAATCAATGGGGAAGCTAGATTCACTTAACAGCCTTGTTACTAACTTAACAACCGCAATGATTCACTTAACAGCGGTGGCAAGAAAGGTTGCAAAATGAGACAAAAATCACATAACAACTGTCGCTTAGAACTGAAATTTTGGGCTCAATTGTGCTTGCAAGTCAAGGACTGCCTGTATGCTTTTTTCAAGAGTGCTCAAATTACAAAATTTAATAGTCTTCCTTCGAAATATAAAAAAACAACTCCTTCATATTCTATTAAAAACATACATACTGTATTTTAAGGTGGCTTCCTCTATGGGAATATTACAGAGAGCAACTGAATATCAATTGCACTCACCTCTGCAAAGAACATCCTAAGAATCTCCAATCCTATAGTAATTTGCAGTGGCTTAATGAACTATTAGCATAATTGCATTTTTAAGACAGGATGAAATTGAAAATAATAAAAGAGAATTCTTGATATGTATGTAGCTCACTTCTCTTAGTGACTTCAATTGATTCACAGAAAATTTACAGGCTCTCAGTTCGATACGTATCCAAATCCAGCCTCGCTTTTTATTTCTGTGTAATAGGAAAAGAGTTCTGGTCCATTAATTCTCCCACTCTCTCTTGCAAGAAGTTAACCATTTCAGCCAACACAAAGACATGTGTTTCATCTAAGTCTTGTATGATGAACTTCTTTCCCAGGGCATTTGATTCATCCAGGTACAGCAGGAACTGCTTCATGGCTGGGTCACTGTGGGGACAAGGATAAAATTATGGTAATCTCACACAACACTTCAATGAATTAAGCTGCAATAGTTACAATGCAAATGCCAATATAATACAATAAAACCACATTTATGAAATGCATTGAATGCCATAAAGCAACCAAGCAGAAATTCATAAAACATGATGAGATTGAAAAATGAAAACTATTATGAAAACATCCTAATATGTTAAGGAGATCGAGTATTTTCAAGATTCTCCCAAATATCCAATCCTGACCAAGCATCCAAAGTTATACCGTGTGCAACTTAGCAACCTTCAGTTGGGAGGATATTTCATAGACACCTACCATGTTTCAAAAGACATTGCTATGCTTTAGGTAGATGAAAACTCAGGTGTTCAAACAACAAAATGCATTGAAGTAGCATTGTTAAGATTCCTAGAAACCAAAACTGTTAAGGCTGTAAAAGTTAAATTTAATCAGTGTTGGAAAGAGACTGGCAGCAACTGTGAATTTAGTAAAATAGACACAACATATTCTGGTTATCTTACTTTAGTCCAGGGGTGTCAAACTCACAACATCACGTGACGTGCCGCGACATATCACGACTTTTTTTGCCATTGCCGGCAATGGGGTAGGCGCGGTTTCGCTATGATGCATCTGGCCCATGGGCCGGCTGTTTGACACCCCTGTTTTAGTCCATACATTTTGCAGTCACTGCAATTTCTAATATTTTTCAAGGTTAGCTTTGCATATAACCTAACATTCTATCCAGGAAGTATTTAAGCCATGAATAATTGCAACAAAGTCCTGTCATCAAGTTAAATCTAAAGTACAAGGTCAGAAAAGATTGCTCCTTCTCATGGATATATTCCAGCAGGAGAATACAAGCCAAGGGATACTGCCAACTTGAGAAGTGGCATTTTGAGAGGAATGCAATCTTATCCAAGAAAGGCTAAACGATTAAACCACAATCAAATAGAATGAGTATATCCAACCTATTTGAATTGAGTGCAAACTGTTGGGATTATGTTCAAACCAGATGTTTCATCCAACCAGATAACAATAGCCTGTGGTTTTCAATATGTCCTCAAGATCATATATACAAGCATCAAGGGCATAATGATGATTTTTTAGCTCAGTCTCTGAATCACAATTTCCAACAGTTTCATGTAAAACAGGTAGTCCTCGGTTAACTAAAGTAATTGGGATTATAATTTCTGTTACTAAGTGAGGCAATTACTAAGTTATAAAGCATGAGGTCATGCTTTGCAGTGGCAATCCCCATTGTCATCATTAAGAGGTTTTGTGGATCACTAAGTGAGGATGTTCAAGCAAAGTCGGTGGAGAAACCAGCAGCAAGTTGCAACTCCCAGCTTGCAAACAAGCTAGCAGGCTGATATGTTGCTGCTGCCAGGTGGGTAAGGGAACATAAGAGTGCCAGTGCAGCAGGACTTGATGTAGTTGCTGCAGGGTGCACAAGAAGTTGGTGTTGTGCAAGCAGGGCAGTGTGGGATTGCCTGCTCCTGGGTGCAGGAGACTTACCAGAGTGACTTGCCACCTTCCGTACTGGCTTTCCCTACTGGCTTCCCATTTGCTTGTGGAAGCCAGAGGGAAAGTCACAAATAGTAATCATGTGATTGCAGAATGCTGCAACTATTGTAAATGAAAGCTAGTACTGCAATTGACAGAACAGATGTCAGGCTATAAGTATCACTCATTCAACACCATCATAACTTTGAATGGTTGCTGAGCAAGGGGTTAGGACTACCTGTATTGCAAAGCACAAAATTGAATCTTGCAGATTCCATTAGCTATAAACCAGGCATGTCAAACTCGCAACGTCACGTGACGTATCAGAGCTTTTTCGCCATTGCCGGCAATGGGGTGGGCGCGGCTCCGGTATGATGAAACCGGCCCGCGGGCCGGCAGTTTGAGACCCCTGCTATAAACCAAGGAGAAATATCAACAGGTATTATCATCTGGATACTACCCTTCAGGAATAGCTTGAATTTAATATTAAGATCCCAATCCTTGCAAAGCAACAGATGATTATCAAATGGGGCTATGTATGCAAGAAGAATCCAAGGGCTATGTTCCAATTGTCCCTTTCATAGCACAATTCATTCACTATGGCAATTTCGTCAGTTGCAGTTCTGAAACTAGGCCAAAATATTGCATTAGAAATGATGAACTCGTGTTATTTATTCAATCATAGGATTGTGTTGTGACAGTCACCCACATAATCACAGATTTTATATAATCAAAAAAGAAATTAAATTTAGAAATAGATGGTCAAATATATAAAGTTTTCAATATAAGATCAGTTCAGAATAGATACTTTTCCCAATAACATTTCTCAATCTGGAAGAGATTCTGAGGAAGGAGAAGTAAATCTACCAAACCATTTTTCTTTCTTTCTTTCTTCGAAGTGTTAAGGCAGCTGCACCCTTAACAAGGCTCACATGGTTGTTTTGAAAGCTGTCCATTTTTGTCTCTGCCTGTATGTGCATGCGTAGCCACTTTTCTTACGGTCCCCAAAGAAGTGCTATTTGTACATGCATAAACAAACAGCTGCTGTAGTACTTCAACTTTGGCCACCTAATGAGAAGGAAGGACTCACTGGAGAGGAGCCTAATGCTGGGAAAGATTGAGGGCAATAGAAGAACGGGACGACAGAGAATGAGGTGGCTGGATGGAGTCACTGAAGCAGCAGGCATGAGCTTAAATGGACTCCAGAAGATGGTAGAGGACAGGAAGGCCTGGGGGAATGTTGTCCATGGGGTCGCGATGGGTCGGACACGACTTCACAGCTAACAACAACAAATAGTACTTCAAAGAAAAGTGCATTGTTTGTGCTAATGTATTTTGTGAAATCTCTTTTGAGTTCTTTTTGCAATCACTGGCCTAAGAAATATATTCATTTTGTGTCACCGCCACATAGTAACATAAACTGCTAGAAATTCTCTGAATATATCTACTATTGTACTGTATACACGTCTATCTGTAGTAGAGTAAAAGGCTGGCTGCCCAAATCTTTGAGCCAAAACAACTTCCTTTCCTTTGAAACTGAGACATTTGCTGGAATCTTATAGCAGCTGGTTGTAAGAAAGGAAGTAAAGGAATATAAACCTCTCATCCAAGTTGTGGAGTGAAATTTTCCAATATGCATGAAAAAAACAAAGGTAGATTTAGATATCTAGGGTGTATAGTAGGTAACTAGCTAGAATTGCATTTGGCGTTGATTTTATTTAATTGAGCTGAAAACAACTGCCTGCTTCCGGTTTCTTTTAAAGCCTTTTTTCCCCTCTGAATTTAACTTCCATCTTAGTTGCCTCATTATTTTTATGCACACACTGCTTTTTCTGAATGCGAATCCCTTTTTAAAAAACCTAGTACCTATCCATTTTTTTTCTGTTTTGTTTTTACTGCTGTATATTTTTAATGAATCCTAAACAGGATTAAAAAGTTTAGATGACCATTAGATGCAGCAAAGAGTTGCATAAAACCTTATCTGGATTGCTGTAGCTTGGATTTGGCATTTTTAGAACCATATCATCATGGTTCTAATCTGGTAATATGCTCACAAAATTAATATTAAACTGTATTTGCATTGTTCAGTTTACATAAAAGAGAAAGTACTAACAGAAGATAGTAATTGCTGTCTCAGCCCACTCTGTGCTAAGTGGATTCTTTACAATCTGGAATTTAAATAAGTAACACCTTTAGAAATTAGTTAAGGGCAATATTGACAAGCTACTTAAGCCAGTTAAATTTTATTTTAAGTGTAATAAGAAAATGAGGCTGTTGGCAGAATAATCCCCATCCTTATAATATGAATTATACATACCAAATATTCATAGTTTACAGGTTACATGAATAATACACCATATCACATTTCAGTAACATTGTGTTCTTTTAAAATAAGAGTATGCTATTTTTGCTATTTCACTTGCTGATTACAACCACACCTCTGTTTTTTATTACCATGTCACAACATAAACATTTCTTGCTCATGCTACCAAATTTCTTACAAGCTTGAAATAGCACTTGCATTGCCAATATATTTTTGCTTACCATTCTATAAGTATTCCTTTCAAAACGTTCACCATCTTCTTCACAATGTCAGATTCCTAAAACATCAAACGGAAAAACTATTTGTAGAAAATGATACCATCTTAAACTGAACAAAATCAATACAAACGTCCTGATGGTTAAGCTTCTATCCTAGCCAGCTCAATTGAGCAAACGTTAAGCTGAATTCAGGTTTACTGATTTTCGAGTAAATGAGAATAGGCCTGTATAGTTAATTAACGTTAATTACATACTATAATTCTGAATGCATTTCAATATTTTGATATGCTGATTTTTTTTTCAAAAAAAGGAAAACAAAAGCCCTATCAATAATATGTATTACTTCTATCTTGAATCTGACATATTTATATCTAGTTTATTATACTACCTGTTTAGAACTAGATCCACTTTCATTCAAAAGTCACTTTATGTTTTGTGAAGATTATTGATCTGGGTTCAACTATTTCAAGCACCCTAGATGGCAACGAAGATATAGAGAAAACTCTACCATGTACTCGGAATTTTTGCAGCCCAGACTTGGAAGCCCTAATCCTACATTGGAGAAGCCTATTCAGGCTAATGAGGGAAAGAAACCGTATGGTTTACCAAAGCATCTGGCAACCCTACTATCTGTATCTTCCAGGCAGATTGCAAATGCACTTCCCATCACCCTCGGCCAGACTGATGGGATTTACTGTGCAACAACCCTGGATAAAACTAAGCTGAAAGAGAGTAGTTGCAACTATTTACGCTGCCCGGGATTCGCAAAAGCTGACGGCTACGTTGCCCTGCAGAAAGGCAACCCCTTAATGCCAGAGATACGAGGGTAAACGAGGGAGAAGTTGGGGAAAAAAGAGAAAGACCTTCCAAGAAAAAAAAACAACCCACAACCCACTCAGTTCAAGACAACAAAACAAAACACGGAGTTGTGCTTCACCGGTTCAGCAACGTTGCCCTGGCGACGAACACACCAGGTTACTCCTGATTCCCACCCGACCAGAAGAAGCGGGAGCGGAAAGAGCGCCGACTCGGACGTAAGGTCCACAACTGCGCAGGCGCCTTTCTGCTATTGTTTTTGGATTGGCCTGCTGCTATGAGGGCGGCGCTCTGGGGGAATGTAACGTGATTCACGTTGACGTCAGAGCGTGGGCGGTATGGAAAGGCTTCGTCGTTGACAGTGGGACGGGGATCCGAGATGGGCAGGTAGGGGAGGAGGCAGGAGGAGAGCGGCTGTTGGGGTCAACCTGATGCGTGGTTGTGAAGTCGGGGCTGGAGAACAGGCTTGNTAAATCTAAAGTACAAGGTCAGAAAAGATTATATCCTTCTCATGGATATATTCCAGCAGGAGAATACAAGCCAAGGAATACTGCCAAATTCAGAAGTGACATTTTGAGAGGAATGCAATCTTATCCAAGAAAGGCTAAACCATTAAACCACAATCAAATAGAATGAGTATATCCAACCTATTTGAATTGAGTGCAAACTGTTGGGATTATGTTCAAACCAGATGTTTCATCCAACCAGATAACAATAGCCTGTGGTTTTCAATATGTCCTCAAGATCATATATACAAGCATCAAGGGCATAATGATGATTTTTTAGCTCAGTCTCTGAATCACAAGTTCCAACAGTTTCATGTAAAACAGGTAGTCCTCGGTTAACTAAGGTAATTGGGATTATAATTTCTGTTACTAAGTGAGGCAATTACTAAATTATAAAGCATGAGGTCATGCTTTGCAATGGCAATCCCCATTGTCATCATTAAGAGGTTTTGTGGATCACTAAGTGAGGATGTTCAAGCAAAGTCGGTGGAGAAACCAGCAAGTTGCAACTCCCAGCTTGCAAACAAGCTAGCAGGCTGATATGTTGCTGCTGCCAGGTGGGGAAGGGAACATAAGAGTGCCAGTGCAGCAGGACTTGATGTAGTTGCTGCAGGGTGCACAAGAAGTTGGTGTTGTGCAAGCAGGGCAGTGTGGGGTTGTCTGCTCTTGGGTGCAGGAGACTTACCAGAGTGACTTGCCATCTTCCATACTGGCTTTCCCTACTGGCTTCCCATTTGCTTGTGGGAAGCCAGAGGGAAAGTCACAAATAGTAATCATGTGATTGCAGAATGCTGCAACTATTGTAAATGAAAGCTAGTACTGGAATTGACAGAACTGATGTCATGCTATAAGTATCACTCATTCAACACCATCATAACTTTGAATGGTTGCTGAGCAAGGGGTTAGGACTACCTGTATTGCAAAGCACAAAACTGAATCTTGCAGATTCCATTGGCTATAAACCAAGGAGAAAATCAACAGGTATTATCATCTGGATTCTACCCTTCAGGAACAGCTTGAATTTAATCCTTGCAAAGCAACAGATGATTATCAAATGGGGCTATGTATGCAAGAAGAATCCAAGGGCTATGTTCCAATTGTCCCTTTCATAGCACAATTCATTCACTATGGCAATTTCGTCAGTTGCAGTTCTGAAACTAGGCCAAAATATTGCATTAGAAATTATGAACTCGTGTTATTTATTCAATCACAGGATTGTGTTGTGACAGTCACCCACATAATCACAGATTTTATATTATCAAAAAAGAAATTAAATTTAGAAATAGATGGTCAAATATATAAAGTTTTCAATATAAGATCAGTTCAGAATAAATACTTTTCCCAATAACATTTCTCAATCTGGAAGAGATTCTGAGGAAGGAGAAGTAAATCTACCAAACCATTTTTCTTTCTTTCTTCGAAGTGTTAAGGCAGCTGCACCCTTAACAAGGCTCACATGGTTGTTTTGAAAGCTGTCCATTTTTGTCTCTGCCTGTATGTGCATGCGTAGCCACTTTTCTTATGGTCCCCAAAGAAGTGCTATTTGTACATGCATAAACAAACAGCTGCTGTAGTACTTCAACTTTGGCCACCTAATCAGAGGGAAGGACTCACTGGAAAGGAGCCTAATGCTGGGAAAGATTGAGGGCAATAGAAGAACGGGACGACAGAGAATGAGGTGGCTGGATGGAGTCACCGAAGCAGTAGGCATGAGCTTAAATGGACTCCAGAAGATGGTAGAGGACAGGAAGGCCTGGAGGAACGTTGTCCATGGGGTCGCGATGGGTCGGACACGACTTCGCAGCTAACAACAACAAATAGTACTTCAAAGAAAAATGCATTGTTTGTGCTAATGTATTTTGTGAAATCTCTTTTGAGTTCTTTTTGCAATCACTGGCCTAAGAAATATATTCATTTTGTGTCACAGCCACATAGTAACATAAACTGCTAGAAATTCTCTGAATATATCTACTATTGTACTGTATACACGTCTATCTGTAGTAGAGTAAAAGGCTGGCTGCCCAAATCTTTGAGCCAAAACAACTTCCTTTCCTTTGAAACTGAGACATTTGATGGAATCTTACAGCAGCTGGTTGTAAGAAAGGAAGTAAAGGAATATAAACCTCTCATCCAAGTTGTGGAGTGAAATTTTCCAATATGCATGAAAAAAACAAAGTTAGATTTAGATATCTAGGGTGTATAGTAGGTAACTAGCTAGAATTGCATTTGGCGTTGATTTTATTTAATTGAGCTGAAAACAACTGCCTGCTTCTGGTTTCTTTCAAAGCCTTTTTTCCCCTCTGAATTTAACTTCCATCTTAGTTGCCTCATTATTTTTATGCACACACTGCATTTTCTGAAGGCGAATCCCTTTTTAAAAAACCTAATACCTATCCATTTTTTTTCTGTTTTGTTTTTACTGCTGTATATTTTTAATGAATCCTAAACAGGATTAAAAAGTTTAGATGACCATTAGATGCAGCAAAGAGTTGCGTAAAACCTTATCTGGATTGCTGTAGCTTGGATTTGGCATTTTTAGAACCATATCATCATGGTTCTAATCTGGTAATATGCTCACAAAATTAATATTAAACTGTATTTGCATTGTTCAGTTTACATAAAGGAGAAAGTACTAGCAGAAGATAGTAATTGCTGTCTCAGCCCACTCTGTGCTAAGTGAATTCTTTACAATCTGGAATTTAAATAAGTAACACCTTTAGAAATTAGTTAAGAGCAATATTGACAAGCTACTTAAGCCAGTTAAATTTTATTTTAAGTGTAATAAGAAAATGAGGCTGTTGGCAGAATAATCCCCATCCTTATATGCATTAGACATACCAAATATTCATAGTTTACAGGTTACATGAATAATACACCATATCACATTTCAGTAACATTGTGTTCTTTTAAAATAAGAGTATGCTATTTTTGCTATTTCACTTGCTGATTACAACCACACCTCTGTTTTTTATTACTATGTCACAACATAAACATTTCTTGCTCATGCTACCAAATTTCTTACAAGCTTGAAATAGCACTTGCATTGCCAATATATTTTTGCTTACCATTCTATAAGTATTCCTTTCAAAACATTCACCATCTTCTTCACAATGTCAGATTCCTAAAACATCAAACGGAAAAACTATTTGTAGAAAATGATACAATCTTAAACTGAACAAAATCAATACAAACGTCCTGATGGTTAAGCTTCTATCCTAGCCAGCTCAATTGAGCAAAAGTTAAGCTGAATTCAGGTTTACTGATTTTCGAGTAAATGAGAATAGGCCTGTATGGTTAATTAACGTTAATTGCATACTATAATCTGAATGCACTTCAATATTTTAATATGCTGATTTTTTTTAAAAAAAGGAAAACAAAAGCCCTATCAATAACATGTATTACTTCTATCTTGAATCTGACATATTTATATCTAGTTTATTATACTACCTGTTTAGAACTAGATCCACTTTCATTCAAAAGTCACTTTATGTTTTGTGAAGATTATTGATCTGGGTTCAACAATTTCAAGCACCCTAGATGGCAACGAAGATATAGAGAAAACTCTATATCATGTACTCGGAATTTTTGCAGCCCAGACTTGGTAGCCCTAATCCTACATTGGAGAAGCCTATTCAGGCTAATGGGGGGAAGAAACCGTATGGTTTACCAAAGCATCTGGCAGCCCTACTATCTGTATCTTCCAGGCAGATTGCAAATGCACTTCCCATCACCCTCGGCCAGACTGATGGGATTTACTGTGCAACAACCCTGGATAAAACTAAGCTGAAAGAGAGTAGTTGCAACTATTTACGCTGCCCGGGATTCGCAAAACCTGACGGCTATGTTGCCCTGCAGAAAGGCAACCCCTTAATGCCAGAGATACGAGGGTAAACGAGGGAGAAGTTGGGGAAAAAAGAGAAAGACCTTCCAAGAAAAAAAAAACCCACTCAGTTCAAGACAACAAAACAAAACACGGAGTTGTGCTTCACCGGTTCAGCAACGTTGCCCTGGCGACGAACACACCAGGTTACTCCTGATTCCCACCCGACCAGAAGAAGTGGGAGCGGAAAGAGCGCCGACTCGGACGTAAGGTCCACAACTGCGCAGGCGCCTTTCTGCTATTGTTTTTGGATTGGCTTGCTGCTATGAGGGCGGCGCTCTGGGGGAATGTAACGTGATTCACGTTGACGTCAGAGCGTGGGCGGTATGGAAAGGCTTCGTCGTTGACAGTGGGACGGGGATCCGAGATGGGCAGGTAGGGGAGGAGGCAGGAGGAGAGCGGCTGTTGGGGTCAACCTGATGCGTGGTTGTGAAGTCGGGGCTGGAGAACAGGCTTG